CCCTCCTCTCAGGCAGTTGTAGGGAGCGATGAGGGCTCCCCTCAGCCTCCTCTGCTCCAGGCTGAACCCCCCCAGCTCCCCCAGCCGCTCCCCAGCAGCCTGGGGCTCCAGACCCCTCCCCAGCTCCGCTGCCCTTCTCTGGACACGCTCCAGCAATGCAAGGTCTTTCCTGTAGTGAGCCCTGTCTGCCCAGAGGTCTCTGGGGCAGGTATAAATGGAAATCCTGCCCCGTGGAGGTCTGTGACCTTGCATCTCAGAGCTCTTTCTGCAGAAGAATCAGTCTCACCTCACACGTCCCCAGCAACATGCTTAGCCCAGAGAGGGGCAGCGGTGGCAGGATCAGGACATGGGCAACACGGAGCCCTGGGTTTCTGCTCTTTCACACCACCCCATGATATATCCTCATGCTATCACAAATTTCTTCACCCCCTTCTGGAACTAGGAAGCCTCCAGTCTGAAACCCACTTAATGGAGACGGAGAAAGGGAGCAGAAATAAAATCAAGATTAAGTTTACCTCAGACTTGGGGATGATACCGACTCTGAAGAATCCTACGTTTCCACTGTTGATTTTGGTGCAGTCCACAACGGTGGAGGCAATGTTCTCTGGAGAAGGCCCATCGCAAAGAACTGCATCCACCTGAAAAGCACCAGACCTTCACACCAAGTCACCACCCAGGCACTTGGGGAAAGAGAGGGCAGTTTCCCCCTCTCACCAGCAGGTAATCATCATCAAAGGCAACTCTGCTCCTTCCCACCCCACTGCGTTGCCACTAAGGGCTGAATTTGGAAATAATGAACTCAATAAAAGCAAAGAGAGAGGGAGCTCCACGGGGCGTAGGTCAGCAGTAGAGCAAAGACAGGTTTACATCATACGAGGAGCTTTGAAGTCCCATCCACAAAGCAAATGTGTAGAAAACCAGATTTCTGAGGAGTGAGAGGCAGAAGATTTGTACCTCCTTTTGTTTAAATCTGCCCTCACGTAAGCTGCCACGGGCATACAAAATGTAGCGCACTCAGGATTTGGCAGTGAAATGAAAGATGGCCCTTTCAACGGCCATGGCCATTGTACTTCCAGAACTTAGGAACCTTCTGAAAGCCAGGGATATTTTAGAGCTTTGGCACCAGTTTTAGAGCTTTGGCACCAGTTTTAGACCAGCTTCAGCTTTAGATGGGAATCCCCTGTGTTCCGACAGCTCGATCCCAGCTGGAGCCCTGGTGCATTCAAGCGTCAGTGGTTTTCTTGCCTGTATAAGCAAAGAAGCACTTTTTTGTGGCCGGTATCATTCTTTGTTGGAATACGAACTAACTCGCATTGCCAAACCCATAGCTCTACTGTATAAACCAGAAGAATTTTGGTTTTCCACCAAGTTCTGTATTTTATGCTGTTCTTTCACTGTGACACCAACATGAGGAGGGTCCGTGAGGTTTTGTAATGAGATGCTTCCCCAGATTCTTGATATCATCTACTGATTTGCCTACTGGAAACAGAGTGGCTGCGTTCTTCCACCCCCGCATCTTTTGGGGCCAGCCAGAACGCAAAGACCCGGAGCCCACTTACCTTATCTCCCAGCTTGGCGTACACTTGGTTGTGGTGTGTTGTGTCTGCCTCTCCCGTTGGGTTAGCTGATGTGACCACGATGGGGCCAACCTGGTGGCAAAAAGATGGGAATAAAAGCTCTGAGCAGGTTTTTCTGTATAGAACAGATGGTTTGAACTCCGACGTGCACTCGTGCTTCTCTGCCACTCTAAAAAGAGCTCAGTGTGCCTCGCCCAGGTAGAGACACCTACTCTGCAGGCAACCACAGTCCCACCAAATCTGCGTAGGAGTGACCAACACCCCGCTGAACTGGGGTTTGCTGATGTCGGTCAGGAAAGAACATTTTGTTTTCCAGCAGTAGCAATTGCCAAAGACCTACACTGTCTGTCCCAGAAATGAGCAGAACGTGCAGGGTGACCACAGTTCCTTGGACCTTCTGAAGTTACTCTGGCTTCAGATAAGCCCGTGCTTACAACAAAAGTGTTCTACGTAGGAAATCAAAGTGTCTGTTAATTACATCTTTTCTAGCTTGCTGACCTGGTGGTTATTCCTTTTACCCTCTTTTCTGCAATAAAATCTGCTACCAGCTGCCTGCATACCCCACCCCTTCTAAATGACATTTTTCTTGCGGGAGTTAATCATTTTAGCACTTTTAATGCCCCAAACCTGCCTGACACATGCTAGGATCCTCACCTCATTGAGAAAAGGAAAAAGAGAGGAGAGATGATGTGCCAGGAGGGTGGGCAAGGTGCTCCAGCCTCTCCCTACCCTTCTCCCCTCCAGCAGGCCAGAGGACCTGGGTGCTGGTGACCGACACCAAGCCCGCTCCCCAGACAGTGGAATGGCAAGGTCTGGCCACCCGTGCTGCTGGGCTGAGTGTGCTCCAGCCACTCACCAGGTCGATGAGGTGCGTAGTGACAGAGCAGTCGGGGATGCGGATGGCGATGCTCTGAGGGGTACCGACGTATTTGGCAGAGTCCTTCATCCCCAGGAAGTCCACCCACTCGCCTGCAGAAGGAAGAGTCAGACGGCACTTAGGGGCATACATCAGTCCCAACACAATGGTCTTACTAGAAATATCACCACGGAGCGTGTGGTGTTGCAGGGAGGCGCGAGTCAAGTTGGAGTTTCAAAGCCAAAGCTCTCCAGAGAGCATCTCCTCACCTCTGGGAACCACCAAGCTAATGGGAGATGGCCAGGCAGCCTCCATGAAGTCCCAGAGGAGGGGAGTGAACAAATGCTTTGCAGGTTCCAGTTGCTTCAGGCTAGAAATCCAGAGTGACATGGGGCGATCTTGAGCCTGGCGCTTGGAGCTGGAAAGGAGGCAAGAAAAGTGAGCCTGGCAGTAAGATGGGGATTTCTTTTCAAGCTGAAAAGGAAATTGTGTTGGTGAGGTCTCCAGTTAAGGCAAGGTGTGTAGGCTCTGTTCCGGGTCACCAGTCTGTAGTAAAAGTAGGACTGTTCAGGAGATGACCTGCAAGAAGGGACACCAATGACTTGCAGTGATGGGTCGAAGTCCCAATTGCCCAAGTTCTGAGGAAGCCCCATTAATATGAGGGGTCCTGGCTGCTAACGAAAGTACAGCTAGAAGCATTTGTTAAACATGGGAAGGATTTTGGTTGGGACAATATGTACCTACAAATACACACAATAATCCCCCGCCCCATTTGCTGCTTCTTTGGGTTTCCTTGTGCTATCCAAGCTACCTGGCTCCACCACCCGCCAGGAGCCTGGAAGGCAATTCCAGCTCAACTGTCTCCTTTCCTCATTCGGATCTTCTACCCCAGGCTCCTTACCTTATTGTTCCCATGAAGGCTAAGCTATGCGTCTCATTGCTCTCAAGAGTTGCTGTAGCCAGTGCTCAGCAGCAGCTCTAAGTCCTAGAAGCTTCTTTAGCTTCTCCAAGGAAGTCCTCACTGGGGCAGCCAGACAGATACTTACCGGTGAGCTTTCTCCACAGCATCAGGCCGATTGCAGGCTGCCACAAGCACATACACGGTATCAGTAGGGATGCCGCAGGTCCCTCCATTCTTCAGGATATCTGTTGGCATGTGAACAGGGCAGAGCCCCTTGAGCGACTAGAAGCGAGGGGCTGTAATTCACGGAAGAGCTGCCACCGACAAACCAGCCAATTCGGTGCTCTCTGCTCCTTTTCCCAACTAACAAAGCATTTCATCTGACAGGGCATTTTCTAGCATCCATCCAAGAGGAGATCTGGCACCTAGGAGAGTACTGGGCCATGCTCCTCAGGGCCAGAAGTCATTCAGCCCTGGGGAGAGAGCAAGCACCACGCATTTGCTGTGCTTTCTCTGTACCGAGCTTTCAGTGGTAGCCCCAGCCTGGAGGATTCTTGTATCTCAGATCAGATGAGCAGACTGGGATATGATACAGGAGAGACAGCAGCAAATTCAGTGCTAAACCCAGTGCCTATCAAGGAACTGGTCCTACTTCCCCCATAGTGTGTTTCAGCTTCTAACGAGTCGTCTAACTTGGCCCACTTCATCAAAATATCATCTGATTATCATGGTTTCCACATCTGGATCAGAAAAACTCTCTTTAATAGTGTTCTGCTACAAAACCTCCCAGAATCTACCCTCCACCCCCCCATCATGCCCTGTGTATCTCCCTTACCTGCAATTCTCTTGACCGAGGAAGCTTTCCTGGCAGGCAGGTGAAGGCATTTGGTCATTCCTCCCCCCACGCCACTAAGCTGCACGATGGGCCTACCCATCGGTAAGCAGGAACCCTCAAAGACGCTGTTGAAAAGGGCAGACAGGAAGCAGTAAAAGCTGACCAGACCAAAGATGAGAGTGGCAGCAATGTCATAGCCAGCTGGAAGAGTGTGGACGGCATCCAGCAGGAAGCTGACAGCGATGAGCAAGAGATGAGCAGACTGGGATATGATACAGGAGAGACAGCAGCAAATTCAGTGCTAAACCCAGTGCCTATCAAGGAACTGGTCCTACTTCCCCCATAGTGTGTTTCAGCTTCTAATGAGTCGTCTAACTTGGCCCACTTCATCAAAGTATCATCTGATGATCATGGTTTCCACATCTGGATCAGAAAAACGCTCTTTAATAGTGTTCTGCTACAAAACCTCCCAGAATCTACCCTCCACCCCCCCATCATGCCCTGTGTATCTCCCTTACCTGCAATTCTCTTGACCGAGGAAGCTTTCCTGGCAGGCAGGTGAAGGCATTTGGTCATTCCTCCCCCCACGCCACTAAGCTGCACGATGGGCCTACCCATCGGTAAGCAGGAACCCTCAAAGACGCTGTTGAAAAGGGCAGACAGGAAGCAGTAAAAGCTGACCAGACCAAAGATGAGAGTGGCAGCAATGTCATAGCCAGCTGGAAGAGTGTGGACGGCATCCAGCAGGAAGCTGACAGCGATGAGCAAGAACGTGAGGGAGTAAAAGAACCAGGCAATGTTTAAGAAGAGCGTGCAGAAGACAACGAAGCCATTGAAGAGCATGAAAGCAATGATGCCTACTGCTGCGTGGAAGCTTCTGGTAGTGCCATAGAGGCCACCGTATCTTGTCAAGCCCCAGATGATCCACATGACAGCATAGAGAATGAAGGCACTGCTCTCCAGGGTTTTACCCCGGGCAAAGGCCACTGAGCCACCTAGAAGCTTAAGGATCCCTCCAGCTACCACTACCCATGGAATTACAACAGTAGCAAGTGGCGCCTGGGGGTCCCCTGTCATCGTTACAGCAAAAGAAGCGAGGACGCTGCATGCATAGCCAAGTACCTCTGCATCTGCGTACTTGGAATACCCTAGGTAGGGAGCGTGAAGGTCTGCCCCTTCACGAAGCTTCAGAAAACTGCTGCGAGCAAGCAGGGCCTTCACAGCACCCTTCCCCGTTGGGATCTTGGCACTTGCTTTCACATTGTACTCTGGTTGCCAGACTGGGTACAGAAGGCAATAGCCTCCTGCAAATTTCAGGATGGAGGTGAAACCGAAGAATGTAGCCATGAGTACATCCATGGCACGGTATGACAAAATGCAGATGCCAATCTGGTAGATCCCGGCTGCCCACAGCCAGGGCACTTGACCGACAAATAGTTTGCCAGTGACACCCAGGAGCCTACAGCCAAAGACACTGGCAGATAGCATGTTCAGGATCAGACCGGTGGCTGCAAAATGATTCATGCTGCCAGTGGTGGATCGGATCTGTCTGTGGGTCTTTTTCTTGGCCAGATCTGTGCCTGGGAGGGCAATTTTCTCTTTGGTTAGGAAATAGAGAATCCTTCCCAGGGCAAAGTAACCACCAACCAAGCAGACAATCATATAATTGCAAGCCACAGCAGAGGAACCGAAAGCTGAGCTGTAACGCATGGCAACTTCATGAGCACTGGCAAGTGAGACAGCAGAAGCAATCGTAGCTAGGATGACCTCTCTGCAAAGGAAGCCCACCACTGCAATAATGAGTAGGGCCAAAGTAAACGTGACCAGGCCAGGCACCAAGGCATTGCGGAAATCGCCAGCGTCGTTCAAAACTCCTTGCCCTCCCAGGATGAAGACCACTCCATAGCCGCACCAGAACACTGAGATGGTCAGGCAGAGAGAGAAGAACAGGGAGGCATTTCTTAGGCTTCTCCGAATTCCTGTGAAACAAATGACAATGGAGACAGAGCTGTGATTTCGAGACAGTAGGTTATGGGAAGCGTAGTTAGGACAGGCAGCTGTGCTGTAGGCCCATGGTGTGTTGGAAGCGTGATTACTATGCTAGCATGGGGCTACAAGACTCAATAACAAGACCACGCAAATCAAGCCCTGACACATCTTTCTTTTGGATC